TTTTTTTATCTTTAATATATAAGTTTTCCACTAAAATTTTCTTTATTTTTTTTTTTTTAAACTTTTCTGCTGGCCGGCGCCGTGGCTCAATAGGCTAATCCTCCGCCTGTGGTGCCAGCACACCAGGTTCTAGTCCCAGTCGGGGCACTGGATTCTGTCCTGGTTGCCCCTCTTCCAGGCCAGCTCTCTGCTGTGGCCCGGGAGTGCAGTGGAGGATGGCCCAAGTGCTTGGGCCCTGCACCCGCATGGGAGACCAGGAGAAGCACCTGGTTCCTGGCTTTGGATTGGCGCAGTGCGCCGGCCGCAGCACACCAGCAGCGGCGGCCATTGGAGGGTGAACCAACGGCAAAAGGAAGACCTTTCTCTCTGTCTCGCTCTCTCACTGTCCACTCTGCCTGTCCAAAAAAAAAAAAAAAAAAAAACTTTTCTGCTAAAATGTAAAACACAAACACACATTAGAAGAGGCTACACAGGGTCAGGATTATCAATATCACTGTCTCCCCCTCCTCCATACTTTGTCCCACTGGAAGCTCTTCAAGGGCAATAACACATGGAACTGTCATCTCCTATGATAACAATGCCTTCCTCTGGAATACCACCTCAAAGTCTCCCTGAGATTCTTTTACAGTTTACCTTTTTTAATATATGTAGGAAGATATGTTAAAATAATAATAAAAGTATAATACTGTAAACACATAAACCAGTAACATAATCATTTTTACCAAGTAATGTGTACCGTACATAACTGCATGCACTATACTTTTATATAACTTGCAGTGCAATTATCAGTATCATTACAAGACATGTCAGTAATATACTGTGCAATACCATTAAGATAACTGATTAAGTAACAGAAATTTTTCAGCTACACCATGACGTTACAAGACTATTATTGTACATACAGCCTATACAACTATGAAAACTGCTACCTGTACTTCTCAGGCTAGTAATATGGAATACATCTGTCTCTTTTTTAAATTTTCAAATATTTTCCAAGTTTTTTTAATCTTTATACAGATGACATTTTCTGAGAATTTCCAAATGTTTTCAGAAATAAAAATTTAGACATTTTTAGTCTATATTTTAAGAGCAATACAACTAATAAAATGAGTACTATTATAAATGTTCAAATTGAAAGAAGTAAGAAAACAGTCCCTAACATAAAGGTCAAGTCTACGGGGTTGGCACTGTGGCACAGTAGGTAAAGCCACAACCTGCAATGCCAGCATCCCATATGGGCACCAGTTTGTGTCCTGGCTGCTCCACTTTCAATTCAGCTTCCTGCTAATGGCTTGGGAAAAGTAGCAAACGATGGCCCAAGTCCTTGGGCCACGTCAGAGACCCAGATGAAGCTTCTTGCTTCAGGTGGGCCCAGTTGTGGCCATCTGGGAAGTAAACCAATGGATGGAAGATCTGTCTCTAACTCCAACTTTCAATTAAATAAACCTTAAAAAATATTAACAGTTGGGGAAAACAAGGACCTAATGGGGGTGGGGGGAGCATATAGGTGCTAAAGCACCTTAAGCAGAAACAACTTTTGAAAAATCTTAGGGTAGATCCCTATCAACTTCGATCAAGAAGTAACAGGAGTCAGCTCTGTGGTGCAGCGGGTTAACGCCCTAGCCTGAAGCGCCAGCATCCCATATGGGTGCTGGTTCTAGTCCCAGCTGCTCCTCTTCTGATCCAGCTCTCTGCTATGGCCTGGGATAGCAGTAGAAGATAGCCCAAGTCCTTGAGCCCCTGCACCCATGTGGGAGACCCAGAAAAAGCTCCTGGCTTCAGATCGGCGTAGCTCTGGCCATTGCAGCCAATTGGGGAGTGAACCAGTGGATGGAAGACCTCTCTCTCTCTCTCTCTCTACTCTCTCTGTGTAACTCTGATGTTCAAATAAATAAAATAAATCTTAAAAAAAAAAAAAAAAAAGTAACAGGCTGGGGCTGTGGCATAGTGGGTAAAGCCACTGCCTGTGGTGCTGGCATCCCATATGGACACTGGTTCACGTCCTGGCTGCTCCACTTCCGAACCAGCTCTCTCCTATGGCCTGGGAAAGCAGTAGAAGATGGCCCAAGTCCTTGTGACCCTGCACCCATGTGAGAGATCCAGAAAAGGTTCCCTAGCTTCAGATTGGCCTGACTCCAGCCACTGCGGCCATTTGGGGAGTGAACCAGCGGATGGAAGACTTCTTTCTCTCTCTCTGCCTCTCTGTAACTCTGCCTTTCAAGTAAATAAATAAATCTTAAAAATATAAAATAAAAAAAGTAACAGGTAACACTCCAGAGAGTATTTACAATCTCCTAAGCACATAGCACTTTTGTTATGCATTAGCTATTTTCATATTGGAATCACACCAATCATTTTGTTAAATGATTATCCTATTCATGATTACCAAGAAGTAGGATCTTTCCTTAGCAGAAAAGATTCCGAACCAACTACTACTGCTACCATTAACTGGTCAAGACTCTTCAACTTTCTCTTCAGCTTCTCCCTCTGTGACCTATCCTCACCAGATCAGGGGGGTAAATAATTATTCACTGGTTCCAACTACAAGACCTAGAGCACAAACTGAGCTGAAGGAAAACTGGAAAACAAAAGAGGGAACAGACATGAGGACAGAAATATGAGAAAGCTGAAAACAGTGCACATACTGTAGAGAAAAATAACAGCAATAATTATTTTTAGATAAAGCACCTATTCCCACTCAGAGTATCTTCAATGTATTAAAGAGTTAAAATTCAAGTAAGTGCAAGACTAGAAGGGATAGTATCTCATGTCAAAACATATAAAAGATAATTAAACTTGCAATTTACAAAGCATAAAAGGCTCAATTAACAGGGCTATCATGTACTACAGAACAATTACATTAATAAAGTTAGTCCTTGTTTTCTGAAATTGAAAATTAACTAGAAGTCCTAGTATTTTGTTGTAGGTTTTTGTGGTTTTTTTTTTTTCCAAGGGCCCCCAGGTCAAAAAGTTTCAGCTGTTTGACAAAATGAAATATTTTCTTAATGTTTAAAGGCCTAAGATAACTGGAGAAAGCATTGAGATCCATGTAATTTTAACATGAACTGAATTTATATACCGAAATGTAGTATTCTGCTTCTTCTTTCTACTGTAATAAGCAATTTCCAAGTAAATATCAAGTAGGAAGAGAGCACTATGAACATAATTAATTGTGTTGTGATAACAGAAATTTTAAGAGCTTTGTTTTGTTGTTGTATGCATAAAGAAAACAAGATTACATGGGCTATTCAAGTTTTAAAATGTGTACTTAGGAGAGATAGGTTATTCACACCTAAACACAAAAAGAAACAAACATAACTTTTTATAGTTTCTCTATGTTGTATTACTTAAAGTCCATGCAAAGGATGAAATCACTTAATAATCAAATCATAAAGATCTACTATTATTAATCTTTCATGGGACTCACAGGATCCTTTGAAAGTTATAAAACTTGAGGCCGGTGCTATGGCATATCAAGTAAAGTCGCCACCTGCAGTGCCAGCATCCCATATGGGCGCCAGTTCAAGTCCCAGCTGCTCCACTTCCCATCTAGCTCTCTGCTATGGCCTGGGAAAGCAGAAGATTGGGCCTCTGTACCTGCATGGGAGACCTGGAGGAGGCTACTGGCTTTGGATTGGCACAGCTCCGGCCACTGCGGCCAACTGGAGAGTGAACCAGTGGATAGAAGACCTCTGTCTGCCTCTCCTCTCCTCTCTCTGTTTAACTGACTTTCAAATAAATAAATCTTTTAAAGAAAAAAGTCCTAAGACTCTACCCAAAAAAAATGATCTAACAAACAAACTTTTGCAAACAATTCTAGGAAAATCAAGGGATTCAAGGGAAGTCTAAAATTCTTCCTAGGATCCAGGAAAGGATGCTAAGTAATTTATACCTTCTAAACAAGTATTAATAAAGGCCATACTGTTTTGAAATTTGTTTTTCACTGAGAGGTGTCATAATTTCCATCATTCCATGTAATAAATATTAAGAAGCTAAAAGCGCCTCAGTTTTACTTAGTTTACTTGCTGGTATAACATATCACTCCATGTCAATGAACAGATGATCATCAAGACCAATAAAAACATATACCTGAAGTAATTCCATTGTGAATATATTAACTCTGCCAGATGCAACGAACTTCAGACAATTCTTAAGAACCTGTGAACTAAACACAGTTTCTCTTCTTTGCAGATAAAAATATCAGCTTGTATTTCAAGTTTTATAAGATTTGCATTAAAATATTCTTAGATTTACTCTTTTCCTTGGCCTATCTCAAATAACTTTATAATCTGGCATTCTAAAGGTCATTATGTTAGGCAACTTTGTAATCTTTCCCTCAGCACAGGTTAAATAAACATGTGTGTGTGGGTGTATGTGTGTGGCCCTCCATATCCACAAATTTATCAACCATGAACCAAAAATATTTGGAGAAAAAAAACCTGTATTAATCATGTACAGATTTTTTTTCCTAAACAGTGTAGCAACTATTTACAAAGATTTACATTGTGACGGGTGTTATAAGTAATCTAGAGATGATTTAAGATACATGGGAAGATACACCTAAGTTGTATGTTAATACTATGATACTATTATGTAAGGAACTTGAACATCTATGGATTTTGGGGGGGCCTGGAACTAATCCCCCAAAGACACAAATATACATATAAACATATGTATTTGACATTAACTATGTTTTATTTATAATCAGTGAACCTAGTTGAGGGGGAGAGGAATATTGGTTGTATACTAATGCTCACCATTAAAAGTATTAATACTAATATTTTTTGATTCTCCATAACCAGTCTTAATATTCTTAAGGGCATAATAATAAATCTCGTAAAGATCAGCAATTACCAAAAGGTAACAGAACCATTCATTTAACCAATGGGAAACAACCAAATTTACTTAAGATACTGATTTTTCTACCAAATGTTTTAAGACTCATATTTCACTTAAAATGCAGATTTCAAAGAACAGGACAACTACAATAAAAACCTTACTGTGTAGCCTTGACTATGTCCCATGTGCTATAATCATCAATGTGAGTTTTCCGTCCAAGAGGTTCACCATATCCATGGTTAAAATGGCTTTGGGGTTTGATTTCCTGTTAAAGACAAAATTACACACAGTCAAGAATTTTTAAAAGAGACTATGTAGAATATTTGAGTATTTTACACCAGTGTTTTTGTGCTGCCTGAAGAATGTTCATTATCAAAATGAGTGGTTTTGCCTTATTCTGAAATCCATACTCTTTAGGGAAAAAACATTTTCAAGTAGATACATACCTTGTGCAGTTTCTCAAAAAAGCTATTAGAAATTACTGATGAATCAGCACCACAGAACTCTTACCTCTATATCAAATCAACTCTCCTTCAAACTTTCCTATTATTCTGCAAAATACGTAGCTCTAACACTACACTTTACAACTTTCATCACATGTACCACCCTATTTACCAAATAAATTCTAAAGACCTTATGAAAGAAACCCAAGGATATTATTATTCTATTATTTTCAGATTTTATCTTCTCTTCCACGCCTCATTGAGGACTTGCTAAACATCTTCTATTAAACAAATAAGGAACAATGGAGCTACTCTGATCAAATATAAAATGTTTCAAAAATGTCAATATCCTCAAGATACTAAACTTTTATATGAAATATTAATCACAGTTCTACAGAATACTGCATCCATTCAAAGTTAATGCTGTGTGTAATTTTCTATTTAAGACATAAAATTAGGGCAGGCAGATGGCACAGCAGTTAAGATACTGCTTAGGATGACATCCCAAATCCAAGTGGTCTATGCTCAACTCCCAGCTGTGCTTCCAATCCAGCTTCCTGGTAACACACACCCTAGGTGGTAGCAGATGAGGGCTCATTTGCGTCCGTGCCCCCTACATGGGAGACCTGGAATGAGTTCCAGGCTCCTGGCTTAGCCCAAGCTATTATAGGCATTAGGAGAATTTATCAGCTGATGGAAGACTCCTCTGTCTCTCAAACTCATACTCTTCTTTCAAACACATAAAGAAATGTCAAATCTGCTATATAATGTCAGCTTTCCCAATGTAATATGGCACTAAGATACAATTGTTTGTTTTCATGAAAACAGAAAATCTGAGTATACTCAGCTCTAATGTCATCAGTTCAAATTGCTGTTTCTGATCTTTTCTACAAATGTAAGTAAGAAGGCCTATCCTAATAAAATATTTAAAAAGAAAGAAATTCTTCAAAGGATTTATGCTCTCTTGCCTATGGTCACATTACCTACCACTAAAATTTAAAACAAAGTTATGCACACTTTACTGGAGCTTTAGCTTCTCTAGCCACATTACATGAGAAATTCAAAACTAATGTCGCTGAGCCATAAATTTAGAAATCTGAATATTGTCAATAAAAGGGAAATAAAATTTCACAAAAGCAAATTCTGCTTAGTATTTAACCTTTCAAGGGACAAATGCTTATTCCTTATAAAATGCTATTGCTGATATCAAAATACCACAGTAAAAATCATATAGCCACAGCAGCAGAAAAAAGGAAGCACGCATCATTCTAAAGACAAGATTCACAATACACTACTGAGAATTTATTAACTGATTTTTCAAAATTTTCTCTCTCTCTCTTTCTTTCTTTCAAAGGCAGAGTTACAGAGATGGAGAGACAGAGACAGACATTTTCCATCTACTGGTTCACTCCCCAAATGGCCACAACTGAGGCCAGAGCAAGGGCTTCACCAGGGTCTCCCATGTGGGTGGCTGGGGCCCAAACAATTAGGCCATCTTCTACTGCTTTTCCCAGGCCATTAGTAGGGAGCTGGATTGGAAGTGGAGCAACTGGGACACACCAGCATGGCAGACAATGGCTTTACCAGCTGTTTTTAAGAGATTATTCTTCAATCAACCCAGATGTCCATCAACTGTTGACTGGATAAGGAAATTTTGATATATATATACACTACGGAGTACTACACAACTTTAAGAAGAAAGACAGAGAAAGGAAGGAAGGAAGGAAGGAAGGAAGGAAGGAAGGAAGGAAGGAAGGAAGGAAGGAAGGAAGGAAGGAAGGAAGGAGGAAAGAAGGGAGGAAGGAAGGAAGGAAAGAAAGAAGGAAAGAAAGAAGGAAAGAAGGAAAGAAGGAAAGAAGGAAAGAAATCCTGTCTTTTGCAACACTATTGTTGTAACTGGAAACCATTAGTAAGCCAGACCCAAAAAGACAGATATCATGGTTTCCCTGATCCAAGGTAACAGAGTATCTGAAAAGTAACGTATTGGAATGAAACAGACATTTAGAGAATCCATGATTGTTTATAGCCCTTGTTTCTTCCACTGAGCAACAGTATTTTGTTTTGTCTCTCTTCATACTATTTGTTGAACTCTTACTTAGAGTAAACTATACGATTATTCAGTATCCTGAAAATAGATCACTGTAAAAATTAAAAGGAAGTAATGGAAGCATTGAAACATGGGCATGGGGGGGGGGTAGGAGGGATTGCACTAAGTTCCTAAATTGGTACATATGAAATATATAAAACTTATATAACTTAAAAAAAATCTTAAAAAAATTGTTCTTGAACTTAATAAAATAGAACTGGTTAAACTAAAACATGGACAAGTATAATATTTGGGGCATATAAACCATCTGAATAAGTGATAAGGCAAACTGACACATGAGATTTATCCATTGAAGTAAAACCTTGACAGTAGGGACTCCATTTTAGAGCACCTGAGACTCCAACCTAAGAAGGCAACCCCCCACCATTGAGAGTCCAGTCTGAAACTATGATCTAAAACAGTTGGACGATAGCAGTCTACTACATCACACTTGGCAAAGCATAGAAACCCCCTAGCATGATTGCTCAAGCTTGGAAGCCAATACGCTGCATCCGGGTTAATATTAAAAATGTAATTTGTTGGTCAGCGCTACGGCTCACTAAGCTAATCCTCCGCCTGCAGCGCCGGTACTCCGGGTTCTAGTCCCGGTTGGAGCGCCGGTTCTGTCCCGGTTGCTCCTCTTCCAGGCCAGCTCTCTGCTGTGGCCCGGGAAGGCAGTGGAGGATGGCCCAAGTGCTTGGGCCCTGCACCCGCATGGGAGACCAGGAGAAGCACCTGGCTCCTGGCTTTGGATTGGTGTGGTGCAGCACACCGGCCGTAGCAGCCATTTGGGGGGTGAACCAACGGAATGAAGACCTTTCTCTCTGTCTCTCACTGTCTAACTTTGCCTGTCAAAAAAAAAAAAAGTAATTTGTCGGGCCGGCGCTGTGGTGCAGCGGGTTAACGCCCTGGCCTGAAGCGCCGGCATCCCAAATGGACACTGGCTCAAGACCCGGCTGCTCCTTTTCCAATCCAGCTCTCTGCTACTGCCTGGAATAGCAGTAGAAGATGGCCCAAGTCCTTGGGCCCCTGCACGAACTGGGAGACCTGGAAGAAGCTCTGGCTTTGGAGCACCACAGCTCCAGCTGTTGCGGCCATCTGGCTGGTGAACCACCAGATGGAAGACCACTCTTTCTGTCTCTACCTCTCTGTAACTCTTGTCTTTCATATAAATAAAATAAATCTTTAAAAAAAAAAGTAATTTGTCTATGACCTACATATGATTTAAGCCAATACCTGGATTAATGTCAAGACTATAATTGAAATTGTTAAGATGGTAACTGGTATTGTTAAGATTATAATTGACATTAGTTTTGCATAGGTTTTAGGTTAGCTTGACCCCAGTAACCATTTATTTCCCCCCAATCCTGGCAACCTCCCGATTTTGTGGCTTTTGCCTCTTCAAACCCTGTTGGGGCATGATACTACTCTCGGCTGCAGGCAATAAGACTCTAAAATTTACCAGGGTGTGGCATTCCTCTGTTAACACTCACTTAGAAATAACACCATTTAATTTCTTTAAGCTTCTTCTATTTAATTTCTCCACTGATCTGCAGTTGTCACCTTTTCTAGGCTCTACACACAGTAGAGTGAGGTGAAGAAAGAACTTCTGGGGTCCGCACTATGGCACAGTGGCTGAGGCTGCCACCGGTAGTTCCAACATTCCATATGGATGTTGGTTTCAGGCCCGGCTGCTTCACTTCCGATCCAGCGCTCTGCTATGGCCTAGGAAAAGCAGCAGCAAATGGCCCAAGTGGTTGGGCCCCTGCACTCACATGGGAGACCCAGAAGCAGCTCCTGACTCCCAGCTCCAGCCGTTGCAGCCATTGGGGAGTGAACCATAGATGGAATATCTCTCTCTCTCTGCCTCTGCCTCACTGTAATGCTGCCTTTCAAATAGATAAATCTCTTTAAAAAAAAAAAAAAAAGATAGTTCTTAGGCCTGTAACACTTGCATCCTCCTAAACTTTATTTCATTTTCTTTTTTTTTAAATATTTATTTATTTGAAAGGCAGAGTTACAAAGTGAGAGAGAAAGATACAGAGATACACACACACACACACACACACACACAGAGAGAGAGAGAGAGAGAGAGAGAGAGAATCTTCTATTCACTGGTTCATTTCCCATATGGAGAAATGGCCAGGGCTGGGCCAGGCTGAAGCCAGGATCTTCTTCCAGGTGTCCCACATGGGTGGCAAGGACCCAAGCACTTGGGCAATTGTCTGCTGCTTTTCACTGGCCATTAGCAAAGAGCTGGATCAGAAGTGGAGTAACCGGGACATGAACTAGCTCCTATAAGGGATACCGGCACTGCAGGCAGCAGCTTTACCGGCTCAGCCACAAAGTCAGCCCCTTATGATTGATTCCATTTGTCCCTAGTACAGGAAAATATTCTAAATCTTCTGTGTTACTTCCAGGGGCCAGTGCTGTGCATTAAACTGCTGCCCTGTGGCATGGGCATCCCATATGGGTGCCAGTTCGAGTCCTGGCTGCTCCACTTCTGATCCAGCTCCTTGCTAATGATCTGGGAAAGCAGCAGCAGATGGCCCAAATCCTTGGGCCCCTGCATCCACATGGGAGACCCAGATGAAGCTCGGATCCTGGCTCACTCCTGGCCCAGCCCTGGCTGATGTAACCATTTGGGGAGTGAACTAGTAGATGGACGATCTAAGTTTTTCAAATAAATAAATCTTTAAAAATAAAACTGTCACTTCCTTAGGACTACTAAGACCT